ACGGCTCCTGGCACCACTCTCTCGTGGTCCAGTGGGTCTCTAGAGACCCTTAGTGCTGATGCTGTCACCCTGGGTGGCTCTGGGGGATGTGCTGGGGAGGAGGGGGTTCTGAATCCTCTAACGGGGTGCACCTCTGGCAGCTGGCACAGGACTCCATCCCACCCAATGCCACGCAGAGCGTCCATGCTTTCTCCACCACCACACTCAACGACATCATGAAGTCCTTCTCCGATGTCAGTGCCATCCGGGTGGCTGGGGGCTACCTCCTCATGGTGCGTGCGCCCCCTTTCTCTGTCCCCCACCATCCCTCCCTCAACCCCCTGTCCCCACTGACCCACTGTGCTCTTCCAGCTGGCCTATGCCTGTGTCACGATGCTGCGGTGGGACTGCTCCAAGTCCCAAGGGGCCGTGGGCCTGGCTGGAGTCCTGCTTGTGGCTCTCTCTGTGGCCTCTGGCCTGGGGCTCTGCTCATTGCTGGGCATCTCCTTCAATGCAGCCACCACCCAGGTATGTGCTAGGGGAAGAGCTGGGTACCACAGGGCTGCTGGGACCCTGGAGGCTGCAGGGTGGCTGGGTCCCCTCCTGGGTGGTGGCCATGTCCCTTCAGTGACACCAGCTGCTCTCTGGCAGGTCCTGCCCTTCCTGGCCCTTGGCATAGGTGTGGATGACATGTTCCTCTTGGCTCACGCCTTCACTGAGACCAGCCAGCACATCCCCTTCAAGGTGAGCACCAAGCTCTGACTAGGGGCTCCCCAGCTCCCTCCACTGTTCTGCAGCCCCTCATCACTCCCTCCCTCTGTCCCCACAGGAGCGAACAGGCGAGTGCCTGAAGCGCACAGGGACCAGCGTGGCTCTCACCTCTGTCAGCAACATGATCGCCTTCTTCATGGCAGCCCTGGTGCCCATCCCTGCCCTGCGTGCTTTCTCCATCCAGGTAGGGCCAGGGTCCCTCTCCAGGGTGTGGGCAAGAAGGGCTGGCCAGACCCCACTCTGACATGTCCCCTTGTACTGCAGGCTGCAGTGGTCGTGGTGTTCAACTTTGCCATGGTGCTGTTTGTCTTCCCTGCCATCCTGAGCCTGGACCTGTACCGCCGGGAGAAACGTCGGCTTGATATCCTCTGCTGCTTCTACAGGTACCAGTGCCAGGCTGGCCACGATGGGGCTGACCCCATGTTCACCCCTGCTCCTCTCCTTCAACATATCCTCTAGTGCCAACCACCGGCCATGGGCAGGGATGCTTCACACTAGACCATGTCACCCAAAGCTCTGTCCAACCTGGCCTTGAACACTGCCAGGGATGGATCAATTACTGCTTGTCTGGACAATCTATTCCAGTGTCTCACCACCCTCACAGTAAAGAACTTCCTTATATCTAACCTGAACTTCCCCTGTTTAAGTTTGAACCTGTTAGCCCGTGGCCTATCGCTACAGTCCCTAATGAAGAGTCCCTCCCCAGCATCCTTATAGGCCCCCTTCACATACTGGAAGGCTGCTATGAGGTCTCCACACAGCTTCTCTTCTCCACGCTGAACAGCCCCAATTTTCTCAGTCTGTCAAATTTACTCAAATTACTGCCAAATTACTCATCCCGTTCTTCCCTCCCTCCTTTACTCTCTCCCAACAGCCCTTGCTCCTCACGGGTCATCCAGATCCAACCCCAGGAGCTTGCCGACGCCAATGACAACCACGCCTGCCACCCGTCCCCTTACGGGCACCCCGGTGTGGCCACCAGCACCCAGATCACCACCACCGTGCAAGCCTTCACCCGGTGTGACCCCTCAGGCCATCACGTCGTCACCGTCCTGCCACCTACCTCACAAGTATGCACCTCACCTGCTGTCCTCCTGCCCCCCACCGACCCCATGGGCTCCCAGGTCTTCGCCCCATCCAGCTCCACGCGGGACCTGCTGGCCCAGATGGATGAGGCCAAGAGTGGAAGGGAATGTGTTCCCCTGCCCTTCTGCCGCTGGAGCCTCGCTGACTTCGCCCGGGAGAAGTATGCCCCACTCCTCCTGCGGACCCGGACCAAGGTGAGATGGGGATGGCCCCAAAGGTGCCACTCGAGGTGGGTTAGTGGTACAGGACCCTGCATCACTCCTCCTTGCTGTTCCCACAGGCGGTGGTGGCGGTGCTTTTCCGGGCGCTGGTGGGGCTGAGCCTCTATGGCACCACCATGGTGCATGATGGGCTCTACCTGACGGACATCGTGCCGCGGGACACCAAGGCTCATGCCTTCATCTCGGCCCAGTTCAAGTACTTCTCCTTCTACAACATGTTCATCGTCACCAAGGGAGGCTTCCACTACCCCGGTGCCCAAGCTGGCACCAGGCCTTCAGCACCGTCAAGTATGTGGTGCGGGAGGGCAACCATGACCTGCCCAAGATGTGGCTCCATTACTTCCAGGACTGGCTCAGAGGTGAGGGTCATCCCTGTTCTCCATGACCTCCCCTGCATAAGGACCCTCTCCCCAGCCTGCATGCTGCCTGCTGATCTGGGAATGTCTTCCCCTGGGAGGGTGGTCCCATCGTGTCCACAAGGTGACCAGCATGCCCTGGGGTTTCTGCATGCTCATCCTGCTGGCACACGGGATGCTGTGTAGGGTAGTGTGCCCCAAGGGATGCTCACCCACCACACTGCATCCCCAGGGCTCCAGGCCACCTTTGACAGGGACTGGCAAGCCGGGCGCATCACCCACGACAGCTACCGCAATGGCTCCGAGGACGGGGCACTGGCATACAAGCTCCTAATCCAGACTGGCAACAAGAAGGAGCCATTCAACTTCAATCAGGTGCGTGGGGACTGGGCTGGGGTGACTGGGCTGGGGATGATGTTGTGCCCACTGCTCAGCTCATTCCTACTCCTGCACTCTCCTTGTAGCTGACCACGCGACGGCTGGTGGACGAGAACGGCATCATCCCCCCTGACACCTTCTACATCTGCCTGACAGTGTGGGCCAGCAACGACCCCCTGGGCTTTGCTGCCTCTCAGGCCAACTTCTACCCACCACCCCCTGAGTGGATCCATGACAAGTACGACTCCACAGGCGAGAACCTGCGAAGTGAGTGAGAGCGATAGGCTCCCCATAGCCCCCTCCTGGCATCCCCCTACAGAGAGGACTCTGCTCCCTGCACCTTTCCTGCCCTGCAAGAATCCCTCTGAAGAGAAACCCCCACATCCCTCATCCCATCAGCATCCTCTGGTAGAGAAACTGCCCTGTTTCCTTGTGCCCCATGCTTGTCCCCCTCCACCCCACTGCACGCTCCCTGTGCCCTTAGCATGCAGCAACACACCCCTACTCCCAGCCCACAAGCATCTCACCACAAAGAAGCCCCTCCACTCTGCTCCACACACATTACCCTGCAGAGAAACCGCCTAATCCCCATGACACCCTAATCCACGTGCATCCTGCTGGCAGAAAAAAACCCTTTTTTCCCCCAGTTTGCTCCCCAGCCCCATGATACCCAGCCAGCACGGAGGCTGGTGTGGCTGGGTGTCCCTGTGCTGCCTGCACTCCCGTGCTGCCCATCCCCTCACGCTGACTGTGCTCTCCTTCCCAGTCCCTGCAGCCCAGCCGCTGGAGTTTGCCCAGTTCCCTTTCTACCTGAGTGGGCTGCGTCGCACGGCTGACTTCGTGGAGGCGATTGAGAGTGTCCGTGCCATCTGCCGAGAGGCTGCCCAGCGTCATGGGGTGCTGAGCTACCCCAGCGGGTACCCCTTCCTCTTCTGGGAGCAGTACATTGGCCTGCGCCACTGGTTCCTGCTGGCCATCAGCATCCTGCTGGCCTGCACCTTCCTTGTCTGCGCCCTGCTGCTGCTCAACCCCTGGACGGCTGGCATCATCGTGAGTACGCACCCTGACGCATGGGGACGGGGGTGACTGGCCATGCTGCCCTCCTGATGGCAGGGACAGGGACATCTAGTCCTGCTTCTATCCTGCTGGGTGTCCCTGGGGAGCTGCTTCATAGGGATGGAGACAGCCGGGGTGAAGGGGACGCCCTGGGTGAAAGGGACACCCATGTGGTGGGATCAGACGTTGCTGATGAAGGGAACATGTGGAGGGGACAGGGGTCTGGGGACATCTATGCAGAAGAGAGTGAGGGGAACACCCATATAGACATGGCAGTGAATGGGGACTCATATGGAGGGATTATCAACACCCCTTATGAAGGTAATGTGTGTAGTGGGCAAGAGTTTGGGGACATCCATGAGGATGGTGAAGGACATCCCAAATAGAGGGAAAGGGGGCAATGGGGTGAAGCTGCCCTATTGGGAGGGGTAGGATTGAGTATGCTTGAAACAGAAGGGATAGCCAGTCAGAGCCGCCCCTCACTGACCCCACCACCCCTCCAGGTCTCCATCCTGGCCATGATGGCAGTGGAGCTGTTTGGCATCATGGGGCTGATGGGCATCAAGCTGAGTGCCATCCCCGTGGTCATCCTCATCGCCTCAGTGGGCATTGGTGTGGAGTTCACCGTCCATGTGGCGCTGGTGAGCACAGGCAGACCCCTGCCCAGTTCTTATTCCCTGGCACCCTCACCCCCTTGGCCACGTGCTGATGAGTGGCCACGTCATGGGTGGCACACAGGAACGAGCCCTGCCTGACATCCCCATCCCCTGGAGGGCTTCCTGACAGCCGTGGGGGGCAGG